GAATTGCACTTATCCCATAGTTGGGACATGAGATCTTGCCCCAATGCCTCCAGGCCACCAATGCCCTATCCTTAACAGTGGCCTCAATGGAATCTGTGGGACACTCCTAGGTCATGGAGGTCACACTTCTCAGCTCACTCAAAGGGCTGGTCCACACTGGGGCGGGGGATCGATCTAGGAAACGCAACTTCAGCTACGAGAATAGTGTAGCTGATGTCGACGTTTCCTAGATTGAACTAAGTTTACTTACTGCAGGTCCACGCGGCGCAGGCAAGCTCCCCCGTCGACAGCGCTTCCTCCTCTCGGCGAGCAGGAGTTCTGCAGTCGACGGGGGAGTGCTTCTGGGATTGATTTATCGCGTCCAGATGAGACACGATAAATCGATCCCAGAAGATCGATCTTTACCTGCCGAATCGGGCGGGTAGTGTGGACCTACCCTAAGGCAAGGTTGCTGCACAGATTGGTGGCAAGAACTGTGGACCCACCACAGGTTCAGTGAAAATTAGTGTCTGATCTAGATTTGAATTCCAGGGAGGAGCAGTGAAAGCTACTGCTATTTCTCCAAAAGAATGAGAAAGGTTTTTAAGTCTCCAGAAGTGTGGCCATCCTCTCTGTGTCCTGTTACGCTTTACCCAGAACATCCCCATATAAATATTTGCAAAAGATACTCAAGATACTGTATGACTTTCCATTGTAAAGATAAGTATGTGATATGTCTTTCTGCTTAAAGACAATACAATTTTAATTGTATCATTATTCTGATAGCAAAATTTCCTATTACCCCATATGGTACCCGTGAGGGCCTTGTTTTTATTTTTTCCTCTTCTTCTTAAATACTTCCTGTCTTATCATTAAGATAATTTAGAATTTATGAAAAAGTGTTGAATTATCCACAATGAAAACTGAAATAATCCCTATATTATCCACAGATCAGATACAGCATAGGGGATGGTAGTGCAAATTTGCTGACAAAGCGTACCTTTAATTAAATATTACCATTGGGGTGAGCCACATTGATGCTATCATCAAGAAGGCTAACGGCATTTTGGGTTGTATAAGTAGGGGCATTGCCAGCAGATTGAGGGATGTGATCATTCCCCTCTATTCGACATTGGTGAGGCCTCATCTGGAGTACTGTGTCCAGTTTTGGGCCCCGCACTACAAGGAGGATGTGGAAAAATTGGAAAGAGTCCAGAGGAGGGCAACAAAAATGACTAGGGGCCTGGAGCACATGACTTATGAGGAGAGGCTGAGGGAACTGGGATTGTTTAGTCTGCAGAAGAGAAGAATGAGGGGGGATTTGATAGCTGCTTTCAACTACCTGAAAAGGGGTTCCAAAGAGGATAGATCTAGATTGTTCTCAGTGGTACCAGATGACAGAACAAGGAGTAATGGTCTCAAGTTGCAGTGGGGGAGGTTTAGATTGGATATTAGGAAAAACTTTTTCACTAGGAGCATGGTGAAGCACTGGAATGGGTTACCTAGGGAGGTGGTGGAATCTCCTTCCTTAGAGGTTTTTAATGTCAGGCTTGACAAAGCCCTGGCTGGGATGATTTAGTTGGGAATTGGTCCTGCTTTGAGCAGGGGGCTGGACAAGATGACCTCCTGAGGTCCCTTCCAACTCTGGTATTCTATGATTCTATGATCATCATTAGAGAGATACAGAACAGCTTTGCATGCTGAGAGCATTCAAAGCAAAGCTCACTGCCAAGTACAATGATGAAGAAAATTCTTGGAGCCTACATCTGACACTGGCTATAGATGTCCAATCGAGACATCTTCCAACTGCATATAGGAAAATGCTTGACACCACTAGAGTCTCTCAACTGCTCAAATAGTCTAACTAAAGAAAATACATATACATATCCAAAAACACAACCTAAGAAAAATACCCATATTAAGCTTAAAGGAACCCATATACTTAAATAACTCAATTTTCCCCATCTGTTTTCAGGCTAAATACAAACTTGAGTAATTAGATTTTGCCTACCAAATTATCCTGTAGTTTTCATTGAATAATTTATTATGCAAGAGTGAACTGATGTGCCAATACAGAGGGTGAAAGATCAAAGTGTGGGAGCAAAGTCAAAAGTGCACTATCATCCGAGTCTCAGTTAGTCTTGTTTAGTGAATGGATGGAAGTTTAGTGGTTATAACAATACTAAAGGTGGATTGCTTATAAGCAGCGAGTGTTTCTTCCTGAATTACCAGTGTTCCAGCCCTGAAGAGCCCTGACATAATTCCAACAATAGTGATAAAACATGCTGCTAATATGTCACCAAACTTTCAACACAATTATCACAATAGGCTGGCAAAGAACGAACTCTTAATATACTCAGTGTAAGGCCTGGTTAATACAATATACATGTTCAATAAATATATGACTAACAAATAAGAAACTTCGTACCCATTTCTGAAGGCAAAATTATTATTGTAATGTATGGTAGAGGAGACATGACGGATATAAAAACAGCCTCCTCTTAAATATTTTGATGTACTCTATATGTCCACCCATCCACTCTATTTTAAGAATCTATACCCCCTCCTTTTTTTTTTTTTTTTTTTTTTACACTTTTGCTACTTATATTTTATTTTATCTCAAGAACCATACTGCATATAAATGGCAAAACCAATCTTTTCTATGTTTGCTATCTGGCTTTATTTCAAGTGCCATATTTTGTACAAACAACAATATTAATCTTGTTTATATATCCTTTTTATTGCATAAAGTTTAATAAAACAAAATTTTAACATTGTCTCTGGATTGCTCTGTATGTTTTGATTTGCAAGCAGATGTGGCTAAAAATGAAATATCCTAATGCCTGCTATATAAAAAGGTGCTATAAATGCGGAACAAGAAGATAATGAGGAAACAGGATTCAAATATATTTTAGGGTTTATTTTGCAGCACTTCTGAATTAACAGCATACAATTCCTTTTATAAACGGTGGATAAGTATGCCAGTTATGTCACAACTAAGAATATTAAATTAGCACACTAAAGTGACAAAAAGCTCACTGAATGATCCTGAAGTAAAAGATATATATATTTGTTTGTTCATTTTTGGCAATAATGGGGAAACTTTATGGGAGGAGAAATACTGAAATTCAGGTGAGAAACATTTGAATTTGAAATCAATTAGTGAAGTCAGTAAATTATAAAGGTTCATAAATGAGAGGCTGAGACATACAGAACTTTATCTAATAGATCAACATTTCTCAAATGCAGCCCTTGTGGCCGCAGGTGGCCACCAGGGGCTTTTCTTGCGGCCATAGGCTCCTGGGCAGTGATTGGGGGGGGGGGGGGTAAGGGCGCAAAGCAGCAACTCTTCCCCTGAGGCTGCCAACAGCTGGTGTGAGTTCCCCACCTTCCTGGAGCCAGTGGAGTGGTGGGCTCCGGGCACACAGCAGCAGGCTCCAGGTTTGGGTGCCAGCCCCAGGCTCACTATCCCCACACATTGCCCCTGGCCCCTGCTGCCTTCCCTAGTCCCCCATCCATCCCCCCATTGCCCTGGGCCCAAATGCTGTGCTACCCACCTCCCCATCCAGGGCTTAATTTGTCCCTGGCTTGCTGGGGCTCAGTAAGTCTCTGCTGTAAAAAGTGATATTTGTATGTTTGTTAATATGTCTTTTCAGTGTCTCCTAGCTAGCTAGCAGACTTACTAGCTAGCAAGTCTTAATTATAAAAAAAAGGCGCAAAACAAACAACAAAAAAGATATGCAAACATGCAAAGCACCTTATTTGTGTTTCTATTCCATTTTGGTCCAGTAAAAAATAAGAAACTACTGTACATTATTTCTATCATTGAGTCTGCAGACAAAACCCTACATAAATAAATAACAATGATTTGGACATATATATGTGTTTTTGCTAAAGTTAATTAAGTATTTTAGGAAAAATTGTCAGAGTGGCCACCAGCAAGAACTGGTGACCACACTCCAAGACCACCAAACATTTTTTTGTGAGAACTCTTGATTGAAGGGTTTAACATTGTAAAGCATTTGGAACATGAAAAGCACCATATAAGTGCTAAGTATTCTTAGTAAAGTAGGAAGTCAGCCTATTCCTCATATTTTATCAGAAGTAGTCACAGAATTAATTACTAGTTTTTTGTTTGTATTTATCATTCTTTTTACTCTTTGGGTTTTTATCAGAGTGACACAGACAACATGATAATCAGATAAAGTATTGTTGTACCCATTCACTTTTTGCACTTCCACCGTAACATGTGCACACAAGTTGGAAAATTCACATGCACACTTGGCTCCAAATGCACCTATTTAACTTTGTACATATGCAAATCCCTGACATTTGAAAAACGTAGCCCATGCATATGCATATGCATATTTTCTATCTGAAAAAACAGCCTGTATTACAAAACATTTGCTGTGACTGCAGAAACTGTCTCTCTCCAGAATAGCAAAGTACAGCAATTAACAACATATAAAATAAAACTTTACATTATATACAATATAAAGGTTTACATACAAACAAAAAGTGAAAGAAAAAAGAAGAAAAGGAAAGGAAGAGAGAAGACCTGTACGAAGTGTGAGGAAAGGGAACACTAAAAAAGTAGTTCTAAAGATTTAATTTATTCCCTGTATGCAATATTTTTAAAATAGGTCTGATTTGTTTTCATAACTAAAGGAGGTATTGTTGCAGCAAGAAGAAAAAGAATAAGCCCAAACCAAAAACATTCAAAATTTCCTTCTCAACTCTCTCCACCTTAACTCTACTTTTCTGTTTACCTACTATTAATTAATTTAGTAGGTGTCACTGAAATGAACAAATGGTAGTAGAAGTGGGAAAGATACTTCCAAAAGTAAATGTAGCCAGGAAGAAAGCCTTGTCTTAAGGGTATCCTCATCAGGTGACAGTCTGATCTCCATGTAACCTGAGGCGTATGCTTATTTACCAAGAATTACATCACGGTTAGTTATTTAATTACATTACACTAAATAAGGACACCCAAACAGGGTAGGAGATGATGATAATATTACCTTTGTAAAATGAGTGGGCAAAGCTCTGCTCAGGAATTAACTTGGCAAGGAATCCATGGTTCAAACTTGGGTGAGGGATAGATGGTATGACCACAACTGTGGAGAAAATCATGGAATCAAATGTGAGCCAGCTAATAACCGCCTGTGATCTGGTCCACTGTGGATCCATGACAGAAGTCCTATCTCATTGAAACATGCAAATATGGCACTATTAACAAAAATGCATTTCTGAAGAAAGGAAACAAGTTATGTATCAAGAGATAGGAAACATCAGACCTATTAGTAGGGAATCATAAGAACAACATTTATAGGGAAAAAGACATATATAAGACAAACATGGCTGAAATAGTTAATTGAAACAAGCAGTTTCCTACTCCAGCACCACAACGTATGACCAGGAAGGACACATTAAATACAACATAAAATTATGGTTTCTCATAGCTGACCACTTAAATATAAGTTTATTAAATGAAAACAGCCAATGAGGACATGGATTTTTTTTAAACTTATCGTACAAAGGTAGAAAGTAAGCAAGCTAAGATATAACAACGAATTAGATAAAATGAATAAAAGTAGGGCTGTCAATTAATTGCAGTTAACTCAAGTTTTAATGCAAAACAAATTAAAGAGATTAAAAAAAGCTGTGATTAATTGCAGTTTTAATTGCACTGTTAAAACATAATAGAATACAAATTTAAATGTATTATAAATATTTTGGAAGTTTTTCTAGGTTTTCAAATATATTGATTTCAATCACACCACAGAATATAAAGTGTACAGTGCTCACTTTATATAATTTTTGTATTACAAATATTTGCACTGTAAACAAAAAATAGTGCAATCTACAAGTCAACGCATGGAGTGACATATGAATGTTTAGCATACCTGGCACTTAAATAACTTGCAATGACCGCTAAAACAGTGCCATGCAAACACCTGTTCTCCCTTTCAGATGACACTGTAAAAAAGCAGTCCCGAAAATGTAAACAAACATGTTTGTATTAGCAATTGGCTGAACAAAAAGTAGGACTCAGTGGACTTGTAAAACTTTAGAGACTACATTGTTTTGTTTTTGAGTGCGGTTATGAACAAATAATTCTACATTTGTAAGTTGCACTATCATGATAAAGAGATTGCACTACAGTACTTGTATGATGTAAATTGAAAATAATATTTCTTCTGCTTATCTTTTTTACAGTGAAAATATTTGTAATAAAATAATATAAAGTGAACAGTATACACTTTGTATTCTGTATTGTAATTGAACTCAATATATCTGAAAATGTAGAAAAATATCAAAAATATTTATAATACATTTAAATTGGTTTTCTATTATTGTTTAATAGTGTGGTTAAAACTGATTAATGACAACTATTTTTTAATCTCACGATTAATTGCAATTTTTTAATCATTTGACAGCCCTAAATAAAAGCAAATAGGACATGAATTTCAATTACACTATACGTGATATGAAAATCAGCAGTTCCAAAAACTAAAACAGCAAATCAAATTCAGTACAAGAAGCAACATATTCATGAAAAACAACATGCAGAGATTTGGCCACTGATTTCTAATCACTCTTTTCCAATATATTTATATGGCTGTTCTGAGAGAGAAAGCAGAGCACCGTCATAAACCAATCCATTTCAGTGGCTTAAATAAGCCATTGGACTGGCAAACTGAACATTACAAACAGTGGAGAAACGCATTTGGATTCAAAGCTCTTGGCAGGTTCTGCAGCTGACAGATAGTGCCCCCAAAGGCTGAGATACCAGTTCCCAGGGAAAAAAATAAGAATTCACACTAATCAGGTAAAGAATGCAATAAAGGCAACAATTCTAGTATATTAGACTTCCATGGGCTTTTCAATGCAGACCGAAACTAGAAAGGCAGCAGGACTCAAGACAGTTAATAGTCCTTGCTATATTAGCTTTTCACAAGACTAAGTTTAAACAGGAGTAACTTCAACTAGGGAGCTAGCTGTGTTTGCTGATTACAAACTTCAGACAGTGCATTTAGAGTCAGAGAGCTGCTCACAGTAGACAAATGACAATTTTTAGGTTTACTTTGACAGGTTAATATCTTGTCCTTTCACAACTTTAAATTCATAAGGGCTCTCCTTCTTTGAATGTACATATAAATTAAAAAATGGATGCATAAATACAGAATAAGCAAATGAAAGTAAGTTAAACCCTATAAGCAGAGGCTCATAATTTAAATCTAACTTATTAACAACCAACATATATTAAAGAAGCTTGGAGAAACTAAAGAACAACAAAATAGTCTCATTAGCCTTCACACCTTTCATACAATTTAAAAGTTTTTGTAGTCAAATATTTACTGTTTCAAGGAAATTCTAAAAACAAAAATGAAAAATAAGTGGGAAAAATAGATGTACCTGTACTTGTTGGTGAATTTATTTCCTGTCTGATATTTCTACCTGCCTGGCTCCCACATCTTGCAGTCTCCCGTTGAGGTTCTAGTATATCACGGTACTTGGAGACCATCAGCACAGAAATAAAGTAAACTACTGCCAAAGCCAAAAATTGAGCCTGTTTGCTATCATCCTGAGTGAGAGAAAAAGGAACACATCATCATACTTGACACCTGCATAGAACTTTTAAATCAAGATAATCAATATGTTTTAGAAACATCAACCTTTTTAGGTGTTATACCTGCTTACAATTCAATTCTTGAATTACCTATATGCTAATTGGAATGTTAAAGTCAGTGGTTATAACCTATTTAGGAAGGATAGTGTGGGCAAGCGGGTAGGGGGAATAGCCTTCTGTGTCAAAAATAGCATTATCTGTTTCTGATGCACTCAGAACAAAATTAGCGTGAATGCTTATGGATCAATGTCCTAACAGACAGACATCAAATAATACCCCATCCTGTGCTTTGCTATAGACCACCAAATCACACTAGGGAACAGGGTGACCGTCGTTTTACCTACCAATCTATAACATATAGGAAAAAACTGTTAATCATAGGGGACTTCAATTTGTGTGCCATATGCTGGCAGTCTCACGTGCCAGTACTACAGCATCCTTAGAATTTGTAAAAAATTATAGGTTACAATTTCCTAACTCAAAAAGTGTTGCAGCCAACACAGAGGAATCCTTTATTAGACTTCTCCTAACAGGTAAATAGTAACTCATCACAGAACTAAAAATTAAAGTTAGCTTAGGTACAAGTGATCATGACTTGATCACATTACAATGTGAAAGAAGACTCAAGTCCAGATCAGTAATATGTATACACTTGGTGTGTTAAAGCCAGTTTCACAAAGCTGAAAACAATTATGAGCCAAAATTAGCTAGGAGTGTTTCTCCATTACTGATAATTTTTAAATCAAGATTAAATATTTTCTAAAAGATATACTCTAGCAATTAATCTTGGAGTTCTATGGCCTGCGATATACAGGAGGTCAGACTAGATGATCACAACTGTCCCTTCTGGCTTTGGAAATCTATGAATTGATGAACGGGTAAGCCTGTACACAGAAAGATTAGGTGACTTGCTTCAGATCTCAGAACAAACAAGTGGCAAAGTCAGCAATAGAACGGAAGAATCAGAATTCTATTCACTTGCTCTTACTTCCAGACCACACTATAAATTTGTAGCATAAAATGAGTGAAGATAATATTATATTTCTGTGCCATTTACGGATGCAGCAACTATTCTGAGAAGTCTACATCAGCATTTGTGGTTCAGCATGCATTCCCCTAGAATACTGCCAGAAGGGATACTAAAGTCATTTAGCATAGATGGGTTATATAAAGCTACTCAGCACCATAACAGAACTGGATCTTATATGATTATAAATGTTGCATCAATAAGGAGGTGCAACATTTCACCCCAGAGGTTGCTGCATTTCAGAGATTGTTGAAGTTTTCCTTGCATGTAGTTTGCATATCCGTTTCAGCTTGTAAAGTGCAATGAAATTAGGTAAGGCATCTTTCTTACCAAATAAGATCACTTTTATTAAATGCTTCATTTTGTAAGAAAAAGGAGAAAGATAGATTATGTAGAATTTGGCAATTTCTTCCCCCCAAAAATGGAAATCTGAAGACTTTTTTGGAGGTGAACACAGATTTTAAGTCCATCCAGCTTCCAAAGCTGTCCTTTTTTTTAAAAATGCAAGTTATTTGTAACATCAATCTTTCTTTTAAATATTAGTGAATATATTGCAAAAAGAAAAATCATGGTCCATATTACTCACCACATCACGAAAAACAACTGCTCGCAGACGATTAATGTCAACATCCTGAAGAAGTCTATCAGGATCCTTTATTGGGGAAAGGTTACCAGGAACATTTTCCAATGGTGTCTAAAAATGTAAAATTATTTTTCCAAACTGTATGGAAATTTTTATTCAAAACATTTCTTTGATCCACAATAAATAAATTAAATACATTAGTACTAACCTGCAGACAAAAAAGGCAATATTCAGATATTGGTTCTACAAACAGTGATGCTTTATTTATTTTAATGCATTAGTACTGAATAGTCAGATACAGAATTGTTTATATTCTTCAAAATCAATGTTTTAATCCTACTGGACAAATGCACCACTCTTTAGTAGTTAGCATATTAACTGTACCAAGAGGAGACTAATTTTTTTGGTACTATTAAGAAGAAATATTTCCTATGCACATGATAGGCTAAAAATGTGTTTGTATAAGTGAAAATAACTTAGAAAATTCAGCCTCATTCTATTTTATACAGAGAATTATTATTACAGTCCCATGCAGGTCATGCATGTTCAGTATTCTACTTACAGTAATGTGACCTGTTTTCTTTAAACAATAAACACTGCAATCCAAATAACAATTAACATATAAAAGTGTTCTGTTTTCTACTGTCCAGTGTTTGTCTTGTGCTGAGTTTGGCAAAATTGCTAGAATGGATTTTTGGTATGGTTTTATAAAATAATCTAGTGATATTTGTGGATATAAGTCTTATCTGAAGCAGTATTTTGAGGCAAGAGTCTATATTGTGAAAGTAGTAATGAGATTATCATGATAAGTGAATTTGGGCTGTATATACCAAAGCATCATCTTTGAGACCAGGGATGGTTTTTGTGTCTCTGTACATTTAGTTTAGGGCCCTTCAACCCCCAAAACTGTGACCAAATTGGAAAATATTCAGAAATGAGCAACTTAAATAATAAGGACACCAAAGTGACTGAAATGTAAGTGACAAACAAATTTAGACCTCATTCTTGGAGTCATATCCACAAAGACAGACCATGATTTACACACAGAGCCCTACTGAAGTTAATGGGATTCTACAAGGATGCAAGAGTCCACCCACAAAGATCTGATTGCAGGCTTTGACCATGCATCTCATGAGGCTTTAGAAATCAAAGAAATATGTATAGATAGGTCAAATTGCAATAGGGTGGGGGAGAAGATGTGCTCTCTGGAGCAGAAGTAGGAGAGAGAGAGTAAAGTATTGGAGAACAGTTCTAATCATGCCATTAAATTAACTATTTTCTTCCTTTTAATTTTTTTCTTGTTTCAATGAAAAAGCAAATGTTTTCTTTTGAGAGACAGGAAATGGGTGACAATTCAGCTTCTGTTTTAAAAGAAATCTAGAAATTAACTACAATCATCTCCTGCTTATTTTAAGCACTGGTACACCCTATATTAACAACATTAGATTACCTTGGTCATTGCTGTTGCAGTCATACCCTGAAGAGTCTCCTGAGTTTTACTGCTGATTAGTGAAGATTTGTTCACCCTATCTCTCTGTCTTTGTCGACATTCTAAACAGTTTCTCACAGCAACACAACAAACTAAAAAAAGATGTAATTGAACATTATCATTAGGTGATTACACGGTTACCATTTAACGAAGTGCCTATACCTCCAAAGAATGATTATATCCCAGTAGCAATTGTATAAATAAGCAGGCATCACAAATCTCTTAAATTATACTCTGGTGATACTGAGAAAATATTATGGTGACTTTTCCAATTTCATTCTGTTTTTAGTTAATCAGGTTCCTTAATTTTATGACTATCTGTCTTAAACAAGGCTCATATTTAAGGCTACAAGAAGTTTGAAAAAGGCAAATTATTCCCTGTAACTGGAGTTCTTAGATTATGATCATGTTGTCCCTGTTGATCCACTATTTTTGGAAGCATACTCCTTAGTGTTGCCAAAGCCAACCTTAACATTTTTTGTGGCTAGAAGACAGAAAACAAAAGGTAGGAATCAATGGTTACTTTCCGTCACGTCAGAGATTAGCAGCAGACTGCCATAAGGTTCCACATGAGGACTGACAATAGTAATTATCAGTGATCTGAAAAGGTGGGAGAACAGTGTTGTGGCAAAATTTGCAGCTGACAAAAATTATTCAGCTCAGTCAAGAACTGAGAAGACTATGAGGAATTTAAGAGAGACCTAGACAAACTAGATAAACAACATGCAATATGATGGGCAGATGGAATTCAACATTGACACTTAGAATAATTTGAACTACGCTTGCTGCTTCTAAGGTCCTACATTAATTGTAACAATTTATCAAAAAGTGTTGGGCATCACCGTGGACAGCTCAGTGACTTTCTGCTCAATGCACAGCAGCAGACCAAAAAAAATCCTCCCGAAAACCAAAAAATAATGATATAAATATAGAATGCATAAGGAATAGCATGGAGAACACCACAGAAAATATTATAATGCTCTTATATAAATCAATGGTACAACCTCACCTGGAATAGTGCGCTCAGTCTTGGTCACCACATCTCAAAAATGATATAAAGGGGTGACAGGTGACAAGAATAATTAGCAGAATGAGAAGACTCTTACTTGAACAAAGATTGAAAAGATTGGGACTCTTACTATAAAGTGATCCAATTTTCCATTTAAAAATGGGACGTGGGAGCCAGAAGGTAGAGGACACCCTTTTTTTGTCTTCCCACTTCTCCATCAACTTCCTTTATCCCTCCACCAAAACATTTCCTTGTAATATCCCCAAAGAAGTGTCTCATTTTTTCCACTTTGACCGTATGACTTAACTGTAGGATATAGGGGGTAGGAGAACAGGAGATTGCTACCTGCAGCTCCAATACTTATTTTGGGAACTAGTTGTCACTGAGGTCAGGTGCACTTATTCTCACAGATCATACTGTTTGGTGTAATAGCTTATAATAGACCTTAGCCAAACTCAATATCTTCCAATTCAAAATATAGTCTAAGGAATCTGAAAGAAATGGGGGAGAAGTGTGGGCAGGTTTGGTTCTGAACTAGCAGTGAGAACTCTGAATAAACCTTGTCAAGAATTCCCTTTTAGGGATCCCTACACTTAAGAAAATGATTAGAAGTAATAAAGCACTAGAGGACAGTTGAGAAATAGTTAATTAAAAACTGGGGAATTGCTCTTCTGAAATGAACTGTCTTAAAGCAGGGTTCTTTGTTCCATTGAGGTTCTACAGCTCACCCCACGCCACTGAGTCTGGATCCTTCAAGGTCGCTTTCATTAAAAATGTTTTTTTCACGGTCAATATCTAACAGCTTGTGGAAAAAATTTATATAGTGTTGTTTATAGACAGCATGAAAATAAAACAGAATTTGCCATCGTATTGCATGTTGTTCATGTAGTTTGGTTAGGTCCCTCTTAAATTCCTCATAGTCTTCTCAGTTCTTGACTGAGCTGAATAATTTTTGTCAGCAACAAATAATGCTGCAATTCATTTGAAAAGACAACATTTCCAAGACCTGCTGCTAATGGGCAATGGGAAAGATAATGAGGACACATGGGTTCACAGTTCTTCATACCTTTTCAAAGAATGTTTTCATTTACAAAACTGTGTACACATAGCCCAAACTATCACTGTTTGCTAGATGCTTTACAGGCACATGGCTGAGGTGTATTCTCCCAAAAGAGGGGATCTGCAGAGGCAATTCTCAGAGAACCAAAGACCATGATGAAAAATCTTACAACAGAAGAGCAGCACAGCAGATCAGTGTTTGAGGGAAACAGTAATTTTCTTCCTTTCATTAGTTTTCTTGTATTAATATTTTACTGTCCTACAACATGCTTTACAATTTGAATTTCATCAATGACAACTTTAAATCTGGACATGTGATTGATTCTCATCTATTTTTGTGTTTCAATAGAACCATCATAACTATTGTAACAAGTCAGTAAAAACTCTGTGGTATTTTAGTCTACCACATCATAGTCAGAACCAGGTTCATTCCTACTTTTATTCATTGTAGCCTTAGCTCATTGATCTGTAAGTAATTATTTAATGCACACTGTCTGTGTTGTTCTATACAGACTTACCCAGCCTTAGGCACTGTCGCATTAAGCCTCCAGAAGACATGTTTTTTTCAGCTTCAATCTCACTGAAGTTTAGAGAACTGGCAAATACCAGTACATCAACCATAGCCATCAGACGGCTCAGGAAAGTCACTGCTGTCTCTGCTGACATTCCTTGTGTCACTTCAATATTTTCCAATTCAGTCTTTAAAAGAAAATAATTATATTAGACTTAACAGTTTCAAAGAACAAATATAGCACACCCACATCTCAATTTTAATTGTTAACAATAAATAAGTAAATGAGAAAAATTACAAAAAAACTATTTCCTATATTTAGGGTTGGCAGAATTCGGGGGTTTTTTTTTTATAATTTTGATGTTTATTGTTTTATATTTTAAGACATTTTTCAATTTTTTTCTATTTTTATTTTTATAGTTGCTGGAAATTAAAGGGGCGTGGGGTTGGCTTAGGGTAGCACTGGCTGCAAGGGGCTCCCTGTGTAGATGAGGGATTCAAGGCACCATTGCCCATGGTGCAGAGGAGGCTGTGGTCCTGGCTTGGTGGAACAGATACTCCTGGCCAGGGTTGCAAGGAGGATGATCCCCTGGCTATGGGATGCTGCTGCTGAACAGTTCCTGCCCAGGGATCACGGTTACATTCCTGGCTGGTGAGTGAGTGAGCAGGACCATGACAGTGGAGCTGAAAAGGTCTCCCTGAACAGCCGTGGGGCTGGTGACACCCAATCCTGGCAGACACAAGGTACAGGGAAGTCTGTGGTTCTGATGGAGCAGGGCAGAACAGAGATCCTCAGCCAGGGCCGCGAGAAGTTGTCATTGTCCGTAGCCACGGGTGAGGCCACCCTGCTGCTGAATGGCTCCTGCCTGGAGCAGGGTGGCCTCCTCCTTGCAATCTTGGCTGGGGGTGTCTACTCTGGCCAGGGCTTCAGCCTTCTCCACACCTTGCACCTGAAGGGATCCAGCATCACTGGCTCAGTGGCAGCACAGAGACCTCTCTGCAGCCCCGCTGTCATGGCCCCACTCCTGTGACAGCAGTTGATACCTGATCCTTACAAGCACAGGGGGAGGGAAAGGCTGCACTCCCGCTGACTTTCACCAATCACTCTATTTTTCACTGGTTTCAGTATGTCAGTTGAAACCAACATTTATCAAAATCTATTGATTAAAATTGAATCCTGCCAAGCCTATCTATGTTTTTTGTCAATGCAAATTACTTATGAGTGAACTTAAAAATAATGGAGTGGGAAGATGAATTCACACTTGCATGCTGTAATAGGTATTATGAAGTCTAATATCTGTGAGAAAATTACTACTATTTACATAGAACCAAATTGTGGCCCAGCTACCACAGCTGTACAAGGCATAAGGGAGTGCATGACACCCCTGTATGTCTCTGAGCAATCTAACTGCATGACAGCACAGGAAGGAAAATGGGCTCTGCAAAGCTGCTATGTCTCCACCTGCCCCTACTCACACAGATGGGTGGGAGAAATGGAATGGGGTGGGAACTGAGCAGAGTCTTTGCGTGTCACTAACATGTAGTTGGAGCCGAGGAATGTATGCTGTATTGGGCATAAACCTAGCACAGTTTACTCCATCCCTGGATCAGTTTACTCCATCCCTGTTGCTCCAGTGAGGGAGGAAATCATGCCAGGTTTGTACCTGGTGCAGCATACATTCCACGTGGAATCACAATCTCCATCTTGGGCTGTTCCCTTAGTCTAGGCTCATGGCAAAGCCACTCCTGAGTCTGCAATTGTTTCATAAATGTAAAAAAGAATTATGATTTAGGGTAACATTTTCAAAAGTGCCTAAGTGACTGGAGCCTGAGCCTCATTTTCAAAAGTGAGTTAAGCTCTTAGGGACAGATTTTTAAATTCAGTTAGGTGTCTAAATATGCAGATGGGTGTCTAGTGGGATTTGCAAAAGTGCCTAGGAGGCCAACTCCCATTAAAATCTCTGAGAATTTGGTGCCTAGGTGCTTTTGAAAATCCCATGAGGTGCCTATCTGCATCTTCAGGCACCTAAATACCTTGACTTTAGGAACCTAAGTCTCACTGATAATCAATGGGACTTAAGTTCCTAGGTCTTTTTTTGAAAATGGGACTCAGGTGCTTGTGAAAATTTTAGCCTTTTGGTTCCAGTTTCAGGGATTCTGTAAGACAAATAAGGAGCTTAAAATATATTATTTTGTCCTGTCATAAACATTTCTTTCCGTAACAAGAGTAGAGAAAATTCTTTTAAAAGCCTTTATTTCCCTATTGCTGAGAATTTAATGTCCTCAGTGAACAGTAACTTGTTGAAATAGTTGTTTAGGTTTAACAACATACCAACAGTGCCGATAATGCCAAACAATATTAAGAAAACAATTGTTCTGACACGTGAAAGGTATAATGTGTCTTTCTGTCATCAGAATGATAGATAACATTGCAAGACATGTCAGTTACATGGGTATTCTGGGAAGGGTTGTCACTATTTAAAATCTGTCCAGCAAGACAAAACAAATGATATGATGACAATTAGACCTTTGAAACACCATTTCCCTTTGAAGGACTGCCACTAGCATTCCTCTAGGCAGTTATTTCCTGCTATTTTATGTTATTTTTCTACCGTGACCCCCTTGTCATAGTAGAAGAAACATTATTAATTCACATAGAAAAGTAGCAAATTGTTTATATATAAAACACTTACACAAATGAAATTTAAACTGAAGAAGCCATATCTGAATAGCAAGAAGCCATGCCAGGGTGTGCATTAGTAGGCTGCTGGTGCAATTCTCAGGTGGTTATAGAAACATGGCCTTTGGACTCACCTCAATAATCACCAGAAATATGCACCAATAGTCTATTAGTGGACTCCCTGTTTTGGATTATTGCTATAATACAATTAATTATATTGTACTATATACATTTTCTTAAGGGAGTAGATCTTTTACTTCCCAATGTGAAATGTCCAGGTTTATTTTCACATGAAATAGTAAATCCATGTAAAAGCATGTTTTATAGTATAGTTTTTACATGATTTTTGCTAGCATTACATAGAAGAAAAAAAATAGGATTTTCTTTAGGAAATCTCCCTAAATGCTGCCAATTCACTATAAAGACAATAAATAGTCTTCTATTAGGTCTAATTACTATAATGAAATCCACCTCTTAAAGGTAACACGCTAGTATGTATTCTAACTACATTTCAGAGACGTTTTCTTGTTTAGCAAACTGTTTTCAGAAGCTAGAATGTTTTAGAATGGTATGGTAAACTCATGCTTACTATGTAAATTTTAAAAGGAATAACTAAATTCCCAGATGGTTATATGGGTCCAGAGTTTGAACTAAATCAGATTTTCACAGCAGACAGACACTTCTGCAATTTATATTAGATCATAGGCTTGTCTAACTTTGACTTGGTAGTTTACAATGAGCAGCATATAATCATTAGCCAATGCATTAGATTACACTAAGAAACATTTCAGGAAAAGTCCATAAATGCACCTAATTTACTCCTGACCATATCCTATAATATGGCGTGAATAATTTAAAAAAAAGCCAAAATGTCAAATTATCAAAAATAATAAAGTTTGAAAAACTTAAAAACTGAAACTTACAGCAGTAATACTAACCTTAGAACCCTGGACATGCAATAGACAAAACAGACAACAGATTACAACAATAAAAGAAAAAGAAAATTATTAAAGGTAACTGAAAATACAATGTAAAATTGAAACAAAGTAATATCTTGGAATCATACCTTTATCTGATTAATTTATCATAGGCACTAACATTGCATCTTGGAAAGTGAACATTTGAAAACAAAGACTTCAAAAATAACTAAACTGCAAACAGTATGGACGTTAAATCTAATCTTTTAATTTTATTATACAGTTCCTTTCCACATTGATCCATCCAAACTGAAATACATATTTTTAAATATGTACACGGAGAAAAAGTATAGTATGTTAGTAATGTATACCCACAGTAGAATTTTACTTGTTATATAAATCACAGAAGTACATGACATAATTGTGCCATTCTCCAGTCAATTGAAACTGAAAAAAGTAAATCCAGCCTTAGTATTTATGATTTGTGAGATAAATCATATGTACAAAATTAATTGACAAAACATACATATAAATCAGAAGAAAAAAATGCTTGATTCTTTAGCCGTAATGCTCTTTGGACTGCAGCACCAAAACATACCTTGTGGTGTGCACAATTTTCAAACCTAATCCCAAACTGTACTAAACATTTGAATGATTTTGAGCCACCAATGGAAGTCCAAGTTTTGGATCACCTCAGGGAGTTTGAGGCTAGTCCCAATGATTAGCAGTTCTGCAAGGTTTCTTTTAGGTTTTATTTTCAGTCAGAACCCTCTCCCCACAACAGGCCTGTCATTTAGTTGTCAGGAGCCATATTTTTAAAACTGACTAATGATTTTTGGGGCCTTTAAGATTTTAAATCCCCAACCTGTTAAACCTTATAGGGTGGATGCTGAGCAACCGGGGCATCTAAAAATTGAGGGACCCAAAAATCACAAGTCATTTTTGATAATTTAGGTCCTAACTACCTTGAAAAATGGAGGTGAAAAAATAGAAGACTACTGCACCTCCAGCACTGAAGACAATTTAAGGTAGTCAATATTAAAATGTAATATATTACTAACAGTTACCACACTAACAAATTTATTTGAGCATAAGCTTTCGTGGGCTACAGCCCACTTCATCTAGTAAAAAACTAGTTTTTAAGAATATTTTAATACTGTCATAATTTAGATAGCACATTTTTGAAACCAAAAGCATTTCAGCTATGCTACGCTAATAGTGCCATTGCAGTATCAACTCCAGCAAAATGAGAAGGAAGTTTTCTTTTCTTTTTTGGTAGAAAACTGTGTCTAACCATCCTTTCACATGTGGAAGTTCAGGTCTTGGTCTGGACTCTGAAGCTTAAACCCATCTTTGGGACCCAACCGCATTTTTTCTTTAGATTCCTCAACAGGTGAAATCCGGGTCCCATTACATCAATGTCATAATACCCACTGATTTCAATGGGACAAGGATTTGACGTTAGGTTCACTGAAGCCCTGTTTGATCCCAAAACCTTCAATTTTCTCCTTTAAGCCACATCCTTAAGTCCATGGTTATGGCTGTCATTTTATATTAACTAATGACTAGCTGGAACTGTCAGTCTGTCCACACCATGCTTTAACTGGCAACATCTGTTGCTGTTAATAAAATGCATTTTTCATAATCCTTACTCCCTTTCCTGAAAGCCCTTTGTCTTGTTTTGCATTTTCACATTTTGCCTTTTATGGTTGCCAAAATTTTGGGGCACACAGAGTGTCTTATTTGTATTTATAAAGTGTCACGTAAATTTGAGACACTAAATTTAAGTGCTAAAAAGATATATATTAATATCTCCCCGTGCAAGGTCTTTGAAGGATTACCTCAATCCCTGCTAGCCCAATGAGCAGTAGACTAGGACTGGGAAATGAACTCTTTCTGGCATATCATCATAAAACAACATTATTAGATCAAAATATATGCTTACCATTTTTATTTATTTTAGTATTTTCATTTATTATTTCATATATCCTATTGGAAATTAAAAGGCGCCTATCCTTGGCTCTAGGCAATTTTTATACTAAATCACATGCAATCCCCCCAACAAACAAAAAACCCACCAGCAACTACGTTAAAAGCAAATTGTTAAAGTTACAATGTCAAGCACTCAAGTTAAGAAACACAGAATATTTTGCCTGTGACACTTTATTTCAGCCCTCTTGTATGTATGCATTATGATACAGTCTTTAATTATATGATCACCTACTATGTTTTCCACAAGTGCCCTGCCTCAATTGACTGAACAGATGGTGCTCACTTAATAAGCAGAAATTCAATATTTTGTTGTATCTTCATTTCTTCAAGGTTTATCCCTAGACCTTATTTACTCCACACTATCCAAAAATTGCTTTGAAGACAGCATTAATAATTTCCTCATGGGCTTCTCTATGGTGCTCCTCACTAGAGTGTTTCACAAACATTAATGAATTTATTTTCATAACAACTCTGAGAGATGAGGGTTATGATCATCCACATTTTACAGATAGGGAGCTGAGGCACAGAGATGTTGAGGTCCACAAGTATCTGCTAACTTTGGGTGCCCAATTTGAGACATCTAGAACCTGATTTTTCCAAATTCTTAGCATTATATAGAACTTCATATGTTCAAAGCACAGCTCCCACTGAAGTCAGTTGCAGTTGAGAGTGCTCAGCTCTTCTGCAAATCAGAACCCAGGTTCTCAAGTCAAGCACTCAGAAAACGAGGTATACACAGCACATGACCAGCTGTTAAAAGATGGGTTAAGCAACTTGCCTAGCATCACACAGAATCGAATCCTCCAGAGCAGCATTCAACTACCTTAACAAAGAGACTGTCCTTTCCATTTCTGTAACCCCGCTGCAATATTCCCAACACACCTTCCAACTTCTGCAACAAATGGAGTAGGGGTCCTACAAAAAACAGTTTCCTTCACTACACAACCCTGATTCATTCCCAGAGCAGGTCCATCCTCTGAACTGAATGAAGCAGGGATGCTGTGGAAAAAACAGTCTGTGATCACGTAATTGGAGACTATCATAACGCATATACACAAGAGGACTGAATTAAAGTAACATAGTTAACCTTAATTCTGGAATTTCCTAACTTTTGGATGCTTGACTTTGTAACCTTAATAATGACCTTTTAATATACAAAGGGTTTGTGCGTGTATAATTTCTTAGGTTTAAAAAAAAAAAAAAAAGGCAAAAAAACCCCCCATATTAACAACCATATACAAAAGGTACAGACAAGGGCAATGAAAAGAATTAAGGGCATTGAACAGCTTCCTTATGAAGGGAGATTAGAAAGACTGGGACTAATTCAGTTTGGACAAGAGGCGACTAAGGGATGTGATAAAGGTCTATAAAATCATGAATGGTGTGAAGAAAGTGAGTGTTATTTACGCCTTCACATAACACAAAAACCAGGGGTCACCCAGTGAAATTAATAGGCAACAGGTTTAAAACAAACAGAAGTCCTTCCTCTCACAGTCAACCTCTGGAACTCATTGCCAGGGGATGTTGTGAAGCCCCAAACTGTAAATGGATCAAAAAAAGAAATGGAAAAATTCATCATCAGTGGCAGTTAGCTAAGATGGCCAGGGATACAGCCTCATGCTCTGGGTGACCTTAAGCCTCTGACTGCCAGATGCTGGGACTGGATGACAGGGTCACTGGATTATTGCCCTGTTCTGCTCATTTCCCTTGAAGCATCTGGCATTTGCCACAATTGGAAGACAGGTTATTGGGCTAGATGGACCATTGGTCTGACCCAAAATGGCCATTCTTATGTTCCTCAGCAGGATAGGGACCATTCAATCCACTGCACAAACCTCTGCCACCTCAACCAATGGAATAACTGATATCAGTAGTCAGTTGCCATCTGCTATGTGGACCAGCACTAGAGGAGGATGGACACTTTGCCAGTTTTCACGGAGAATGATAGAGGAATGGTGGAGACTCAGGAATTGTGGGTCCCATTCCAAGCCCCGGAGAGGAGTGCATTCTAATGGGCACAGACTCTTCTGTCCATTTCCTATGTGACCCCTTCTGCCTCTCCCCTCCAATCTGTCCCTGTCCCAGTCCTAACCCTCCACCACCCCTCATCCCAGTCCCATTCTCCACATTTAAGGCTTTTCATCCCAGTCCCTGTCTCCTTGCCCAGCAAGTCATATTCTCCCTCCACCACCCCCAATTTCCTTCTGCCCAGTCTCCTTGCCCAGGTATTTCCAGTTCCCTCCTCTCAATTCCTCATCCCATCTTTCTCCCCCACCCTGACCTCCAGTTGTGCAGCTCCCATCATCCCTGTCCTAATCTCCATCCCCAGGATCCTTGTCCAATCTCATTGTCCCCCCTCCACCATCTCCTTGCCCAGAGAATCCCAGTTCTGCCCTCGCACCCCGGTTCTTTGTCAGATTGGTTTCCCTTCCTTTTAACATCTTCTCCCTGCCCCCACTGGTTTTCAGTCCCAGTCTCTCCCCCAATCTCCTCATCAAATTTCAGTGTACCCCAACAACCTACTGGTTCCTTCTGTTTCCCTCCCCAGCTCCCAATCCCCCTGCCCAACCAATCCCAGTTTCCTGCCTGCTCCCAGACCCAGTAGCCTTCCAGCCAGTCTCAGTCTCTATTCCAGCTCTCAGTCCCAATCTCTGAACTTTTAAAAGAAAAAGTCACTAGAGTTTTACCAAGAAAAGGTTGCAAGAATTTCTGAACATGGGCAAAACAATGTATTTTTCTCTACTTTTGTTTTCAGAATTGACTGAACCAAAAATTCAACTTGAGGCAGACATCCAGCATGGAAAATTTCACCCCAAGTCGTTAAAGTTTGGCAAAGTTATAAGCCACTGAGAACAGGGTCTTATAATGGAAAATGTCAGATGGTGTCTCCCCCTCCCTCCTGCTGCATGGCCTTGAGGGAAAACTGTAGCAAGCCAGTTAGAGAGTTCAGCAAGTAGTGGTATAAGCAGCCAAAGCAGGAACCTTTGGTTATTTGCACACTCAGAGAACTTTCTACAGTTTTGACTGGACTTTTTCTG